GAGCATCTGAAGTTGTCAACAATAAGATTATCTCAACGTCAAAAAAACAATAAGATTATCAACCATGTGTCCTTAAAGAGCATTAAGCTCATAATTGTTGATTTCATTTTTTTTTTCTGGTTATTGCAACCTTATTATTATCTCATATGTGTGCTAGTATGTAACCTTTCTACCTCCATGTCAAACTCTTGTGGGAGTTTCTTTCCCGTGAATTCCCCTCATTAGCTTGATGGGAAGGTTTCTAACTGGGAGTATTATTAAGAGTGTTCAACTGTTCACAAGTCTAAGAGAGATAGTTTCCAGCTAGATACTACTCCCTCTGGTTACAAATACTTGAGGCTTTGACCAAGATACGGTCAAACTGTTAAAATTTTGATTGCCAGTAGTTTTCAGAATATTTAGTTTGGAAACATAAAAAATCATGTGTAGTTTTTTTTCTTGAAAGCCATCTTCATAATATCATGCTTATTAGATATTATAACTATATTATAATAGGAAAAAAGTAATGGTCAAAGTTAAAACTCGAAGACCATAGAATGTCAATGGCGACAAGTGATTCACAGCTTTTTAGCCCACAGAGTGACATCTTAAATGCATTAGCCATCATCTGAGTGTTTGAATAAGTTGCACCTTTGAAGAGTATGGACACGTCAGCCAGATGTTGCACACGAGGAGCATTCATATTATCCCCTCTTGTTGACTGATGGATCCATTTTCAAGAGTTGGTTAACAGGTGAGCTGTATAGGGGAGGGGAGGGGAGGAGTGTCTGCTGCTCTTGGTTGCAGAGTTCTCCCGTGGAGTTGTTGATTAAGTTTTTGGGCTGTCATTAGAGAACCGACCAACTGAAACATGTACCTTACAGTCTATATGGCATTCTGGTGTCTGAAATTTGGAAAAAAAAATTATATTCACATTTGTTGAGATTCTCATCAAATGTTGAACCTTTGGGCTCCAGCTTTATCTGATTCATATTTTTTCCAGATTACCACAGTTGATGAAGCAAAAGAATTCTACCCATTATTTGGCCTTGGGGCTAATATTGCCCTTATCTTTTCTGGGCGTACTGTGAAGTATTTCTCAAATTTGCGCAAGACATTGGGTCCTGGAATTGATGGCTGGGAAGTATCTTTGAAAGGAATGATGAGCATAGTGGTACTTCTTGGACTTGTCATAACTTCCATCTATTGGGGAGTGAACAAGTTTGTTTTGAATGATCCTTCACTTCCAAAGTCTGATCGTAAGAAGAAAAAGGTTGGTAGCTGTGGTTTATCATGCTTCCCTTTTTTTCTTTTTATTGCTACTCAAAGTTATCTAGTAACGATTTATGCAACAGGAAAAGCCTAAACTTGGCATGAAAGAGAGTCTGAAGGTTCTGCTCTCCTCGAGGTATGTGAGGGATCTGGCTACCCTAGTGGTTGCTTATGGTATTAGTATCAATATTGTCGAAGTCACATGGAAATCAAAACTCAAGGCACAGGTAATCTTTCTCAACTATATGTTCTTTTCATATTGCGTTGTTCCTACAGTGATCTATTTTCAGTATTCAGTAACACTTTCCTTATTCACTGCAGTTCCCTAGTCCAAATGAATACTCATCTTTCATGGGTGATTTCTCGACTGCAACTGGAATTGCAACTTTCACAATGATGCTGTTAGGACGTATTATACTACGGAAATTTGGCTGGGGTGTGGCTGCAATGATCACCCCCACCGTTCTGTTGCTGACTGGTGTCGGATTCTTCTCTCTGATTTTGTTTGGACAGCCACTGACTCCTATGCTTGCCACGATGGGTATGACCCCCCTACTGGCAGCCGTTTATGTGGGTGCCTTGCAAAACATATTTAGCAAGAGTGCAAAGTACAGTTTATTTGACCCATGCAAGGAAATGGCTTATATTCCTTTGGATGAAGATATGAAGGTTTGTTAATCTTTCCATCTTTCTTCTTACTATTCTCGTGTGACTTGAAGGTATTTTTAACAGGATTTTGTATTTTGTTTGCTGATCTTTTGTTCTCTTGTGATGCTTACTTTCATATAATCGTGTAAAGATAAATTTATATAGTTCCTTCTTTCGTAATTGGTAAATGGGGACCAACAAATTTAATTGATAAAAAGCTCTATGTTGACTAGCGAGTTAGTTACATGTGCAGCTATTTGTTAGCCTGTTCAAAATTTCTGATGATGCATATGATCTTTTCTAAAGCCTGTTAAATGTCGTATGTAAATGTAACTTCTCGTGGTCCTGTACCTTAAAAAATGGCATTAGCTATATCTTCCTGCTTATGTCATGTGTGACTACATGACAGATACGATAACTAATGCTTTTCAATTAAATCAGGTCTTGTGAACGTCATACCGTTTTCCCCAAATATCTCTGAAATGTCTTGTCCTTGAACTTAGAATCATTCGTGGGTGGCTCAATGATTCTTGATGTCCCACTGTCTGCACCATTATACTACACATGCCAACTCCAGTTCCCTCTGTTTGCAGGTAAAAGGAAAAGCGGCCATTGATATTGTTTGCAACCCACTGGGCAAGTCCGGTGGTGCACTTATCCAACAATTCATGATCCTGACATTCGGATCCCTGGCAAATTCAACTCCATACCTTGGCGGCATACTGCTGGTCATCGTTCTCGCGTGGCTAGGCGCGGCGAGCTCATTGGACAAGCAGTTCTCGAGCTTGGCTAAGGAAGACCTGAAGAAGGAGAAGGCTGCCCAAGAGAAAGTAGAACCCCCGCTACTCAAGGCGCCTGCAGAAGGCACTGATGATGTACTGGTGGAGCAGACAAATGGATCTGTGACGAGCCAAGCAACTGGAATAGAGAGCTCGCCGTCGAACTCATCCCCTATTCAATAGCTTCATCATCAGAAGTTGTAGTTAGGAGAGTGATTACAGTGAGCAGAAATAATTGGTATTAAAATAATTCATGGCTTTCAAGTTTGTAACAGTGTGCAGCTTCAAGCTGCTGGTGATTTTTCTTTGTAACATGAGCAAATTTTGACAGCCAGCAGTGAATGCTGTTCTGGAAATGGCCCTGACCCTTTGTGCCGACGTCAAATGCATAAATTGTGTGTTTTGAATTGAATCATGTCACAGTAAAGGTTCTCTTCAGTAGTATCAGCTGAATGTTCAGCAGGAGACGATAAGTGTGCCTTGAAAGTTCAAACACAACGCATCCAACAAGGCGTGTTGTTTGGAACCGCTTGACTTCGGATTCTTGATGAAAATAACCAAGAATGCCACCCAAACTATTTGAGGTGAAAAGAATCTGAAATGATCTGAAATTGAACTGGGCGCCGAGAATCATATTGTACCATGAGGGGTGGACCGCGTTTTCCCACCGCTCATTCCAGGGCGCATCATGATACAGGGCCTGATTTTGTTGTTTGCCAATGCTCGAGCATGGATCACATCAAACTGATTATCCGATCTTTACTTTCTCACCCTTCCACTGCTGCCATGAGAGGTACTCGGAAATGCACTAACGACCGTCCGAGAGCTGAGAGGGCAAAAGTTGCACATGTTTAGTGTAGCACCACGTTGTCAAATCAGGAATTAATTAGGCTTAAAAAATTCGTCTCGCAAATTAGTCGCAATCCGTGCAATTAGTTATTTTTTAGTCTATATTTAATACTTCGTGCATGTGTCAAGCATCCAATTTGATAGTGAGTAAACTTAGGTGGAGAAACTAAACTAAGGCCTCGGTCGATCGAAGGGAGTTTACCACCTGGTGAAGTGATTGATTGGTTCTTCCAAAACAGAATTGATTGTTTCTTCAGAATGCCACTGTTGCATTCTGTTCTTCACAGTATTTGGCCTATCAATTAGTGGATAAAACTCTGGGGTTTGAAGCCTCAGAACTTTAGAGTCGTGTATTTACTTTTGTGTCATCAGAAGCTAAAGATGCAAATCGACGGGGACGGACCACCTACATTCTGATGGATGCACAACACCCCCATTCTATCGCTTTTAAGCGAGCGCTCTTCTTGTGTGTCCAACTGTTGTACCTGTGCTTTACTCGTTTGCCGGTGGAGTGGAGATCGCATAAAGCATGCGACCCGTTTTCTCCCTCCAGTCTTTCTCACTAATCCGTGTACTTAGGTAGCGACGTCGAGGGCAATAGCCATCGGAACAGTCCAGAAGAAACCCTGGGACCTGAAGTTGACCTCCTCTTGTATGATGGCTTTATGAACCATCGAATTAGTTTGATTAATTCTTCCTTCTTTCTTTAGAATAGGACCGCTGAATATTCCAGCGAACATTGATGAAAAAGAAAACAAAAACAGCTAGTGTTGCAGAAAGACAAGGCAAGGCTGCAGTGATGCAGCTGGAAGAGGGTAAAGTGAGCTTCCCTCTTGGCCACAGTCAACTCCACAGGGCAGAATCGAAGTGGAGACTGGAGGAGGATAGGTAGGAGAGAGGAAGGTGCTTTGCCACGTGTTGTCGCACATTGCCGCGATTTAAAGTTGACGACGCAAGTATATAGCACATTTGAACTTGCAGTAATAGCAGCAGTATTATACAAAATGGAAGCACGCACACATGACACCAGGGGCGGAATTGGGCCAAATCCAAGCCTAGGGCCACTCAATAGAGTTAATGGGCTGGTTGTATTAGGCCTTCTTGCTACAGTATACAGTATAGAAAAAACAGCCTAACGCCTAGGGCCGTGGCCCCAGGCCTAAATCCGCCACTGCATGACACACCACTAGCCACTCCTTACCTGAAACATTTCGCTCTCACGGACTCGTCCCCATCGGCGAAGCTATCATGCCGCGCCACGCCACGCCACGCCACGCCACGCCATGGCCCCACCCCCGCATGGAAACGACGAACCGCCGCTCACATCTCGTGGCGTGGGGACTGGGGACACGGGCCACACGGCCGCGCGCGCTGGACCCCCAGCACTCGCCCACTCTCGCACGCACACACCTGTACCTGTATGTACAGCACGCGCACGCATCGCGTGCGACGCGGGGCTCCCGGATCATCGCTTCACTGGTGGCGGCTGCTGCTGCTGGACGCCGGCGCGGCCAGCGGCCAGAGTCGGGAGAAGGTGGAGGAGACGGCGATGCCGGCCATGTTGAGCCCCTTGCTGCTGCCCCAGTCCGGCACGGGCACCCACCGCCACTCGCGGCGCGCGCGGTCGTACGACAGCCACACCAGGTCCCACGCGCCGCAGCAGTTGGAGATGAGCACCAGCCGGACCACGCCCTCCCGCTCCGCCAGCAGCCCCGTCATGACGGCGTACGGCTTCCGGAACCCCTCCACCAGGTCGCCCGGCACGCTGGCCAGCAGCTCCCAGTCGCCGCCCACGGCCCCGGCCCCGAACCCGTACAGGTCCACGCCCGTCACCACCTTGACCCGGGTCCGGCTCGTCGGGTCGTCGATCGCCGCCGACCGCACCACGGCCGCGCTCCCGTCGCCGTACACGTGCAGCCGCTCCCCGCCGTGTCCCGCGGCGGCGGCGGCGTTCGGGAACCGGGGGCGGAAGAAGACCGGGCGGTCGTCCGCGCGCGGGCCGGCGTACACCATCACGCAGTCCGGCCCGGCGTGCGCCGCGCAGAGGTAGGTGCCGCCGTCTCCGTCTGGGGCGGCCGCCGGCTCTGCCCCCTCGCCCTCGGCCAGGACCGCCTCCGACTCCTGCCACGTGTCCGTCTCGGACCGGTACTCGAAGAGGAATGGCGTGTTGTTCACCAGCTCGGCAAACAGAAACCTTGCAGGGAAAAGCAACCATTTTTTACACTGACGTCAGATCGACATTGATGGATTCGTATCGAATTTTACTGCGGGTTAACTGTTGCTTGGGCACTGTTAATTACTCGTACTATATGTGCCGTTTAGTAGTGACGAGGAATAATTGAGAATCCCCGCGTGGTAAAGGTAAAACTGGGAACCGAGAGCGAGGAGGTTACTGGTGCTTGCAAGTTTTTCTATTTTCTTCCGTAAGAAAGACCCTCTCCGTAAGAAAAGGACAGGTACCTAAACCGGTTCGATCCGGGGGGATCGGCGACGAGCTTGAGTCCGAAGCGACGCCAGGAGGAGGTGCCGCGTGGGCCGAGCGGGGACGGCGGCGCGCGGCGCGCGGCGCGCGCGGTGAGGTCGACGACCACGAGCTCGCGGCGGCCGTTGGCGGCGAATAGGAAGGAGCTGGCGGACGCGGCCAGGAAGTAGAGGTCCTCGCCCGGTGGCACGGCGGGGACGAGGATGGCCGAGACGGGGATGCGGAACCATCGGCCCGAGGGCCCGTGGAAGCCCCTGATGGCGGCGTCGCGGGGCGGGAGCTTCTTGAAGAGGAGCAGCCACGCGGCGGCCGGGCCGCCGCCGCCGGAGGACGCCAAGGAGAGGTGGTAGAGGCGGCGGAAGTCCGGGGAGGAGATGAGGCTGGACAGCGGGCGCGCCACGGAGTGCACGCGGAGGAGCTCCGGGACGGCGAGGCGGATCGAGCAGGATCTCGTGGAGGAGCTCCGACGGGAGCAGCAGCAGCGGGCCCAGCGCCGTGGCGGCCGAGCTCGCGGGCGATGGGTGGTGGTGCTCGCCGGCGAGGGGGTGGTCGGCCATGGGAGGGGGGAGGGGGTCAGGTGAGGTTTAATTCTGCTTGGGATCGGAGTTTTTTGGGCTTCGCTTGTTTGGGAGACAAGTTTTGTGGCGCCGCCCTTTTATACAGACCAGAGAGACGGTTTTTTTCTTGGAGTCTTGAGAATCTTTTGGTTGTTTATTACCTGCGCTCAGCTAAATCTGCATTTTCTAGGGATTTAAGGGGGTAGGGGATTTTCTTTTTTCTTTGTTGCTTCCCGTTTTGTGGTTGGGATGAAAAGGGCGTGCTTGTAGGGCACTCTAGTAGGTTTTTCTATTTGATGGACGGTGCATGATATCACTAATATGCATGATTTTGTAGGTGATGCATGCCTATGATTTAATTTACTTGCCTGTGCATGTTAATTCAAATGTTACACAGGAAAATCCTATGATCCAGGCCCTATGTGAACACCAATACACCATCGTGTACTTTTTATATTTATAAAAGTGGCCTTTTTAAAATAAGTAGAATTCTCGGTTAGGAAAGGTATTATTTTTGCTCTAACTTGCTGTTCAAGTCCATCATTTCCTAACAGTTAGTATTAGCAATTACAACGCATGGGCAAATCAGCTCGCAGGTTACCACCGTGCCTTTCGTGCAAGATAATTACTTAGTCTTGATGCTCAAGTAAGGATCGTTTTTATTATTACGGTCTTACTTGATTCTCTCTCGCAAGAAGTATTAGTACGGAAAAATAAAACATAACCGAAATTCTGGTTCTCTATCATGGAGGTACTCCATGTGGGGCCGATCCAAATACTCAAACCACATGAACGGCATGAACCGCATCGTCCGGTTTCCTCTCTATTGTCTTAAGAAGTCAAATATCTCACATTTAGTTAAACTTATATAAAAACTACCAATATCTATAATATATAATACGTATCACTAGATGATATAAATGTTGACAGTGTTTTTTTATAAATGTATTTAAATTTAGAATTGATTAAATATTTTATGTATAGCAGTACATATAATGATCACTTTCCATTTAGCAAAGGGAAAACCGAACTCCACCAGGATGTTCTAGCTGGAACAGAGTGGCCACACCACTTGAACAATAGCCATCACAATTCATAAACACAAACTCTCCGCGCAGCCTCCGCTCACAAAAAAAAAGCGACGGTTGTGCCGTGAGTCTTTGACACGCATTCATAGCCTGTGACACTTTAGTTTATCTCATTTCAGTATGGAACCATACTGATACATCCTATAGTGGACGTCAGCGAGGGCCTCTCCCAGTTTTCCTATTTTTCTCCCTTTATTATATTAGAAACAAGTACGTATAGGATTTCAATAATAAGGGCGCGTTTAGATGTAAAAATTTTAGGTTTTTTTTAGTATAACAAAGGTTTGCAAGACTCTTGTTAGCACTTTCGTTTGACCATGAGCTCGTGCTTTAGCAATTAGTGTCTGGCCAATTATGGACCAATTAGGTTCAATAATTTTCAGCATTAACTTAACTATTTCTAGGCATCAGCTCCTGCCTTCATTGTGAGTTTGTGACCATATACAAACAAAATTAGCATCATATTTTTTTACATCTATGCGCATTTACTCAGCACATACATATGCCATGAGCTTGATATGATGGATCAGCATATGCATAAAAGTATTTTGAAAAACTAAAGCGGATGGCATTTATATCCTAATAAGACATAGCTTTTGCTGTCCTGATTGTGTGTGAGTGCGTGAAGATGGGAAGGAGAGAGGAAAAGTCACATTCGGGCCATGTTTAGATTGCAAAAAATTGCAACCCGATGAATAGTAGCGATTTCGTCTTATTTGATAAATATTGTTCAATCGTGGACCAACTAAGCTCAAAAGATTCATCTCGTGATTTCCAACTAAACTGTGCAGTTAGTTATTTTTTTTACCTACATTTAATGCTCCATACAAGCGGCTAAAAATTGATGTGATGGAGAGAGAGAGTGAAAAAACTTAGAATTTGGAGATGATCTAAACAAGGCCTCGATCTTCCATTGCACTTTCAGTCATGCATCGATTAAGGCGCCATGGAGTGAGGAGCCAAGAATTTCTCTTCTGCAAGGAAGCAAGCTACTCCTATATATCAGGAGCGCTGGAATCCTTTTCTGTCCAAGCAACTGTTCTTTTTATTCTTTTATTGCTTAATTTATTTTCCAAGCCTTCTTCTTTTTAATGTATAGTATAACAAAGGTTTCCAAGACTCATGTTATCCGCAGACTGGTTGACCATGAGCTCGTGCTTGGATGCTCAATGATTATGTGGAACTATACAGCTCAATAATTGAAACTAGCTCCAGCATTAACTTAACTACTTCTAGGCATCAGCTCCTGCGCTTCATTGTGACCATATACAAACAAAGTCATTTGGACGTCACAGGGCATCATATTTCTTCTTATTATCACAGTGATGCGCATCCTTTTAGCTGATGACGGCAGCACTTAACTGCCTCCTGAAACTAACATAAACCAAGAAACTTTGAAAGAGAACATACAATGGATATGAAACAGATTAAAGTATAGCTTCATGCATGTCAGCATATACATAATACAGTATTAAGGTTGGAAGAACTTCTTTACATGTTTTTTTTTTTTTGAGCGGATGGCATTTATATCAGATAATAAGATCGGCATAGCTTTTGCTGTCCTGATTGTACGGTTCCGGGGCCCAAAAATATTTGCAACTTTTGACGAAGATAAGCGAACCAAAGATTATGGTCAAAGATTAGGTGAAGATGCTCTCATGCTTCCCTTGTGCGCGCCTCTAGCTCGCTCCCTGAGCAAGCTGAAGCTCTGTCTGTAAGAGAAGCCGAGCTTGATCCGCATGCAAACCTCTGTAAATCTTGCATCAAGGCTGTGAATGTTAGCTAAATTGCCACGGCATGATCAGCCAGGTTAAACCCCTTTTAGCTAGTGAAATAAGTTATAAGTAGCAGTTAGGACAATATATAGCTTATCCGTCAGTATCTTGTATGCGTGTTCAGTTTGTGCACGGAGCATTACGGGTGGCATAAATGACTCAAGCCTTTTCATTCACATTATTATCTCATTGGTTAGAATTTAATTGAAGATAATCAATTGCATTCATGCGGAAACATGTTAATGATACATTATAATAATAGTTAAACAATTCTTGGTCATGGATCTGAAACTTACCATAGTTGTCTTTCTCATCAGCAACAGACTAAAATAGCTCGGCCGTGATTCTGAATCATAGTGTAATTTTCAGGCAACAAAGTAGCTCCAACGCAATGGACGGAATCATAGTATAACTACAACTCGCCGTGATTATAGTGTAACTTTCTCCACAGGTATCTGAGGTCGCAACATACACAATGGACACAACGGATGGCCAGGTTAATTAGGGACCCAAACCGCCTGAGGAGTCAGTCAGAAACCATGGCCTCCAGCTCCAAGAAGAGGGCCAAATTAACCCATGCGGGCACCAAACCAAACGACGGCGGCAGTCACTTCACCCGAACTGCGGAGTGAAATGGTTTCCTTTGCCGAAAGAACACAGAAAGCGAAAGACTGCACGCGACAAAGTGCTTTTTTTCTCTCTTTTCCTTTTTATCGTTCTATACTACACTCTGAAGATAGTGACAGGAATGTATTATACACTATACAGAACATCATCTTTTAAAAAAGCAAGCATGCGCGCCGATGGAAACTGATTTGCGGTTGATGCGTGCCAATTAGATTTGGAACGTCCACGATGATGTCAAAGAAAGGCCCGGGGTCACTATTTAATCATCCAATTATTACTCCTACGCGCCAAATTTATTGGACAACCTCGCAAAGGTTGGGCTATCAGGTTTCAGGTCCATGCATATGTTGCTCAGAATATAAACTTATTAGTGGATTAGGGTGTGGACTTGCAGCAAATCCATCGCTCAAATGGAAGGCGAGCGCTGAGCTCAAGCGGATGTGGAATCTCGCTGCCCGATCGGCCGCTCTTGTTTAAGCCCAGCCCAGCCGGATTAACCCTTTGCCTTAAAGGTGCTGCTGTCAAGGTGCGTTGTGCCAAACGGGGACCTAATTTCCTCCACTAAAGTTGCGTTAGGAGGATCGATCGATGGCTACAGCTTTTTGTTATGTCATGTCTTGGTCGGCCGGCCGGGTCCTCTTGGCCACCCATCAATTCCACGTAGGATTGATTGACGGCTTCTGTTGTCTCGTCTGACTGGGGTTAGGACCTGGTGCGGGCCCCACGTGTGTTTTTGTTGAGAGAAGGAGACGAGAGCATCATCCTCTGCTACCAAGTCAACTTATCACGGGGAGTGGAAGGTGTGGTTCCGATCGACCATATATGCTTTTTAATTGGATTGGATTGGAAAACTGTGCGGAAGCGCAAGTTTGCTTCCCTTGCCTATAGATCTGGAACAGGGCCTATCTGTGATTTGTGTTTCCTCTTTAGTCGTATACTCTTCCTTTGTTCCAAATTATATTTGTAGTAATTTGAACAAAGGAAGAGTACATGTTTTTATATATCCGTAGCGCATAAATGAAATTTGCAATACGCTAGCAACTCGCTCGTCAATGAATGGTACTCGTTGTTCTAAATTATAAGTCATTCCGACATTCTGCAATAAGAGCCTATATGTTATTTGTGTTTCCTCTCTAGTTGTACTCCCTTCTTTCTGATTTTTTTAAGATACATACATACCCAGAACAATTTATAGTAATTTGGATCAAAGGTTAACTATCCGTAGCACATAAATGAAATTTTCAATGAATGTACAATAATAAAGCTTAAAACTGGACCCAAATAAAATCCATATTGGCTATTTGGGTTTTAATCGCGCATGGCAATGTTCCTGAGCCAGTTCTAGCTAATGCAGGCTCGGCCAGAGTTGAAACTTTTTACAATGTCGGCCCTTAGTTTGAGTCGAGTTAAGCCCCCACAGAGAAATTGGCCCATATGGACTAGACTGGACCACTATCTGAAATCAGCATCGGACATGCATGCAGCAGGTGGGGTGGGAATGGGATCATGGGATCGTCTCTCCAGCCCACGTTGTTTGGTTGCAGCTACCTGGGTCCTAGGCCCTGCCAAGTGTAGTAGCGCCGGAGCCGGTCCAGTGATCTGGCATGGCCCATATGGTAGCTGCCTTTGCCTTTGCCTACCCTAGGCGGCCAGGCCCATCTCCTGGACCGGCGGATCCTCCCACGACGCAAGAAATTGCGGGCCATCATCCGTGGGCCGCTTCGCTGCGACACGCAAGGGCCCGCTCGACGCGCTGCCATGCCAGCCCATCCGCCCAAGTGGAATGCGGCACGCCCGCCCCTGTTTCAGCTTTCAGGGCGCTGTGAATCTGTGTGATCCTGATCCGTGGTGCAGTGCGGTGTGCAGATGCTGCTGTTTCGCGAATCGCGATTTCCGTGGTGCCAGCAGTATGCCTGCCGTGGAGTGAATCGATCACGGGGTTTCCTCGCTTTTTAGGGCCCCTGCCTACCCCGGCACCGGCAGTGGGTAGGGTACCCATGCATCTGCCTCCTGATTGGACGGACCCTTGGCCTTTCTTTCATGTATCACGAGAGGATTCATCGCTCACTCATGCCAATGCCATCGTTTCAATTGTCCTCCCAGCAAAAACAAACTTTTTTTTAGAAAATGGAATATATTAATATCTCAGCCTCTCGACTAATGCATACCTGCTGGGTTTTTTCCTCCTCCCTAGTCATAGAGAATTATACTCTAGAGTGGGGGGAAGGGGAAAGGAGAGTCGGAGTGTCATGTGGTTCTGGTGGAGCACACTCGGTCAGTTTCGGTACTCGTGGCCGTGGACAACCTGTGTAGTTTTGCAGTGCACAAGGACAAGTTGTCAAGATCGAGAGCTGTTCAAGTTCAGCACAGCCGCACATAGCCTAGCGATGCCCGCCGGCCGGCCGGCCACTGTCCTCGGTCTCAGCTCTGAACCCTGAAGCACGGCGTCTGCATGCAGCTGGGTGCTGGGTGCATTGCATCTGCATAGTGAATGCTTTTCGTGTCCTGCGACGCGTACGGGGGTCCGGGTTTCCCTGCGAGAAAAACCCTGTGCATTCACGAGATGCCATGCCAGTGCCCGGCGCCGACGCTGCTTGCTTGCTCAGCATAGGACGGACGGTACGCGGCCATGCGCACCAGATCGATCGGTGGATCATCCCATCAGACGTCCGGGACTTGACCAACCAGCTTGCCGATGCAAACTGCCAACCTTTGCTTCCCTCCCTCAAAACAAATACAACGGCATGTGAAGGAAAGCTTTCATATGGAGTACTCGAGTGGAGTACTCTCCGTGTTTCGAACAGCTGCTTGTCTCGGATGGTGAGCCAAGAGGATACGAGGATTATACTGGTTCAGGTTGAATGTTTTTACGTCCAGTCTCATGTTAACAGCATTAAGTTTGTAGTAGGGGTTACAAACTGGCGAGAGAGGGAGGAGCTCCCAAGTCTCTGTGATTCGATAGCTCAATGTTTCTACTGCTCGATCTATCGGTCGATCGATCTCTCTCTCTGAACGGTGCCCTGCCTTCCCTTTTATAGATCAAGGGGAGATAACAGGATACCAGAGACCGAGAGAAGGGAAGAGGAAAAAAGAAAGAGAAATAAGGCTCTGGGGGTGTGCCGTCCTCCTCTTCGCATGGGTCCCGCTGACCCTATAGATCATGGTGGCAGCGGCGTCGCATCGGATCCTGTTGGCCGCTACAACATATGTGCGGGCGTCGTACGCCGTTCTTGTCTTCTATCCCATCCGAGCGGACGGAATGGTCAAAGGGCCCCTGATAGAGACCATACAGGGGGCTAGCGGTACAATGCCAGTCAACTGACGTCGGTCGACTGACGTTGGACGGTGGTTAAGCAGGGAGTTGACAGCACAGTGCTGGCCAGTTGACGCGGTGGGCGACGTGAGTCTCCCAGCATGGCCTGATGCGACCGCCAGTCGCATCAGGACGCGCCCGAGACATGCTCCCGGGCGTGCGCCTCCACGCCGTAGTGGTTGAAGCAGTTCGGGTCCCAACCTGGGGCCACTGCTTTTGTCCGTTTGCAAATCCGACCCCCAGGGAACGGGCAAGGCGGAAATCTCGCCCTAGGGGCCAGGCGAGACGGAATCCGACCCTCGGGGGTTGGACGAGGCGGAGCCCTCCCCGTGGGACCGGACGAGTTGGAGCCCGTGCCCTGAGGTCGGAGGAGTTGGAGCCCACGCCTTGGGGTCGAACGAGGCAGAAACCTCGTCCCCGGAGTTGGACGAGGCGTGGCCCGACCCCTGGGGGTCGGACGAGGCCGCAGTTGTGTCCTTAACCATCGGATGAGGCGACGTGACGCTCATTAATCATTTGGTTCGGATACCCGGGTATAGATATCCGACAGTAGCCCCCGAGCCTTTGGAGGAGTGAGACACTCCTGCAAAGGCTTTTTGCGATTTGTTGCTCCTATGGCCGTTGTGCCGTGGAAGCGTATCGTTATTGGAACTTCGGCGTCTTTTCCCTTCGTACTGCGTAGGGTAATCGGGTAGGATTTAGGCACCTAGCCTCCACGGGGAGGACTGGCAAAGGCCGCGGAGGCGCACCGAGCAGACATAGGCTTCCATGCTCCCGAGCCTGCGGCCAACTAGGGAGTCAGTCGGAGGCTGAGAATTTCGGTACTTATCCTTGGGGCCATGGACTCTTATTTCTTTCGGTTGGGGGTGTTCGCCCATGTACATTCCAACTGTGGCCAGTACGGTCGGTCGGTTTCTCGAGTGGGGATCGGACGGCCCGAGCCCCCGATCCTCTAGGGGCCGATCGGGGTCGGTCACCTAGTTTCTTGCGTCACTCCGTCCGTGGTTTCCGCAACCGTAGGTGACTCATCGTTTGTCTACAACCGCGTGTTCGGTCACTTTGTGATGCCGAGCCCCCGAGCCCCCACGCGTAGCAAGGGTCTGGTCGGGGGGTCAGTTCGTCTTATGATCGTCGTCCCTCATGCGTCCATTTGCTAGAATGGAGGGGCTGAGCCGTGCCGTGCTTTCCTCGCTAGACAGAGCACGGTGCTCGGTGAGTTGTTAACGGACTTATTCGAATGGAGCCCCGGCATCCCCTTCGCGGGGGTCCGGTTCGAGATCAGCTGGTGACTGACTCTAGATTCATGGTGGCCGGTCCATATAGTTCTCGGATCCGTTCAACTAGTCCGAGGGCTCGATGCCTTTCTTCAGGGAAAACCATGGACCTTGCATCATCCAAGACTCGAAACGAGGGTCGGGACGCTCGTGGTGCTTCGCGCGCCTCGGGTATTGGCCGCTAGCGTGCCCATCCTTAACCTCCCATCACTCTAGGTTGCCCTAGAGCGACCGTGAACCCACTGGTGGGCTAGCCTTCGAACTCCTATGCGTTAATGGGTTGTGGGAGCGTTTTTAGCTCTGTATCCCACTTACCTGCTGCGGCCCGTAGCCTTTGAAGGCGAATCGTCGCTCGACGGATCCTTCGCGGGGAAGATTTGGATAGGCATGCGCTCGTCTCTCGAGGCAGCGATGCGACTGATGTAGTGTGGAACAGTGAGGGCACGACCCCTGAAGGAAGCGGATCTGGCGAGGCGTGGGGCGCGTTAATTTAGGCGGATGGGTTGCCCCTCGCCCGTTTCGCCCTTACCTTATAAACGGAGCCGTTTCTCCCTAGCCTCCATACGCACAGCCGCATCCTTGCCCCTCCAGTTTTTCTGCCGTTCGCTCTCGAGTTCTGGCCTTCGCTCCCCTGTTTCCGCTCTGCCGCCGGCGAAGTTCTCGTTCTCTAGCCCTACACCACCGCCGGATCTTATGCATCGTCATCCCCGTTCCTTGATGGAGCCGTGGCTTCGCTTCGACGTTTTCCATGCACGCATGGAATGTCTAGTTAAGAAGGGCCTTCTCCACGCAAGGACCATGGTGATGGAGTGGATCGTACCTGGTGGCGAGGATGCGCCGTCGTCGCCCGATGGCTACGTCGTCTCCTTCGTCCCCTTCCACGAGCGTGGGTTCACGACTCCTCCCCACCGATTCCTCCAAGGGCTGCTGCACTACTATGAGCTTGAGCTGCAGCATCTGAATCCCAACATGATTCAGCACATCTCGACCTTCGTCGCGCTGTGCGAGGGGGTATCTGGGGATCGAGCCCCACTTCGAACTGTGGAAGTACTTCTTCGCCGTCGAGCTGTAGAAGAAGAAGGAGAGGAAGAAGTCGGACCTAGCGATGCCTATGGGATGTGCGAGCATCCATCTTCAAGGCAACCGATCATCGGAGTACATGTCCATCCCATTGTCGAAGTCCAACAAGGGGTGGCATAAGCTCTAGTTCTACCTAAGGAACGACGCCGCTGCCCCCCTACCGATCTTCATCGGTAGTCTGATCGAGGAGGCACCAGACGCGTGGAGGTACGGTCCCATCGTGAAGGAGCAGAAGAGGCTCGGTGACCTTCTCAAAGCCATCGTGACTCTAAAGGGCCATGGTCTTCGTGGGACCAGTGTCGTCGGAGCGTACCACGTCAGGAGGCTGGCGCCGCTGATGGCGCACGCTCTTCCAATGTACAAGATGATGCTGGATTCTGCACCTGAAGGGACGGTGATGGTCGCCGATGAGGCCCTCAACGTCGGTGAAATGGCACAATGCATCAAGGAGGCGATGGAGTGCCTGATGGATCCATCGATGGATCTTGCCCTGGTGTACTCGGTCCTAGGGCATCTCGCGATGCGGCCGGACACGGGTTTCGTCAAACTGGTAAGCCTTCTTCGGGTTTCTTTCCTTGGCCGACCCTCCTCTGTTCTTAGATTCTAAGCGCTGAGATTCGTAGCCCAGCCTCTTCACCCGTGAGTCTGACCCGCCACTGCTAGAGGACGTGGCTAGGAGCCCAATGAACCACGCCACGGCTGAGGCGGCGAAGGCGAAGGAGCGGAAGAAGGCGAAGAAGGAGCGAGTGAAGCTACAGCGTGGAAAGCGCCGGCAAGGCTCGGAGGAGAGCGACGGCGATGAGGAGGAGGACGAGTCCGACCCTAACATCCCATGGGGCACGCTTGCACGTGAGGATGAGCAGGCCGACACGGGGCATGCCAACATGACCCTGATTCCACAGCACGCCCCGACACAAACCAAAGATGATGCGCCTCCAAGATCGAAGGGGGAGGACGCGCCCCCGAGGTCGAAGGAGCAAGTCCGCCCCGCTCCGACCGACCCCACCGGGGGATCGAAGCGGCCAATTCCCGACGTGGTGGA